TTAGCAGTTGTCTCTGCTGCTGGTGGTATTCAGCCAGCTGTATTTCACGGCCGCTGGTGTTGATGTAGTTCTCTTCCGCCATCCTGGTGGCCCCGTAACCGAGGGCGGGCCGTAATCGCTGCCCTGATCGAAAGCGGGACTTTCACTGCACAACGCTGGACACACAGTATCACCGATTATAATAACTGATGTACTTAGGGAGAACGGGGTCTCACTGATAATGCGCGGAGCACTGCACACACTGGACACCACTATCACCGTTTATAGTAACTGTTTCACTTAGTAGAACGGGTCCTCACTGGTAACGCGCGGAGCGGAGCAGCTGGCACGTCCGACCTGCACCGCTGCCGGCTTGGAACTTACCCTAAACTTAACTCTAAACTTAACAAATCGATAATGCGAGAAAAGTTCCCATTCATTCATTTAATTAATTCAATTTTTTTAAATAATTATATACGCTTTTTTATTCAGTAAAACGTCAATATCATAACTTCACTTACATTAATCACAATTACACTTACAACATCGCAAATAGAGCGCTTAAAAATGAGAAAAATATATTTATTTCCTTATGTCATGTGTTTCAAAAACGCAAAACATAATAACTTACTTGTAAATATCGGAAACTTGCATACATGCGGTTTTACGCCATAATAGTAAATAGAATGCGTCCGGGCATTGCTACTGGGTTCCGGCCGCAGCAGGGAATTTCCGAGTGGTTTACCGACTGGCGTCTCAGCGGTCAGTCACACCCATTTCCTGTCCTGCTTGACTCAAGTCTCTGCCAAAGAGCGGTTACCGTTTCCGGCAAGAATTTATCTGCCGACTCTGATAACTCAACCCACCTAGCGGCACGCCGTATGAGATAGAACGTTATCTGACGTTTATGTAATTTATTCCTTTATCCGCAAAACAGTATTCTACTTTTATGTGAGAGGAATTAAAGTTATATATCGTTGTTCAGAAGCAAGTAACAATCTCAGCATTTCGTCTATGGATAAAGGGAAACTGGACACGATGAAGATGGGGTAATTAATACAGAAGATGTTAACAGTTCTGTTAAAGATAGAAATGTTTTTCTAATGTTTCAATGATGATGATGATGATGATGATGATGATGATGATGATGATGATAATAATAATAATAATAATAGTAATAATAATAATAATATTTGTTTTCCTGAGTCAATGGAATGTTTAATGATATAAAAGCATTTTTTCAACAGAAAATGTTTTACTTGCTTTTTTGAAGAAAAAAAAACGCATTTTGAATTAATTTAATTGGAAAGATCCCGTTTAACATTGCGTTTAAATTACTATAATTAACGTTATTTCTAAAACTTACCAGTACCAAATGTTACGATTTCAGATAACCCGATTTTGAAGACAGGATGGTGTTTAATTAAGAGTTTCTTATTTGTATCAACAAAGAGTAAAAGATTGAAATATAAAACAGGGAATATACAATGTCTCAGGGCAAGGCCTACTGATGACGTCTTGTCGGCATATTCACATCACTACGAATCGGAAGAGACAATTTTTACAAAAATTAGACACACTATTCACCAATTCTAATTATTCTAAATACTTGACATTTTATGGACATATTGTAGTCTGATGAAAACCTCAATAAGAATGGTTGCAGCAATGATGAAAAACTTTATTCATCTTGATGTTGAATTCTCTCGAGAAACTAGTTTGTCCGCAGGAAGCGAAGAGAACGTCTGCAAGGTCACATTCAGTGTAGCGGGAAAACGGAGGAGGCGGAAGAGTTCCAATTGCTCTGACGCATCATTCCTACTGCGTCGCAGAAACGCAACACAGGTCTCAGCGCTTTGGCGGAGATCGCGTCTCTGGCTTGAGGCCGCAAGTCTGCTCACTTCGCTGTTATAGTCCCCGAACATTCAGTGCAACGTAAAATTTTACTGGATATTAGCTGGATCCGTTCGAACGTTGTGTACTTTATAAATAATTGTTTTAAATGTGGAAATATATTCAAATAAAGAAATCCCAAAGCAATACACAAATTTTATTGTAAAAGATATGGAACTGTCTCGATCTTCAATTGTATAATGTAGAAATATAGATTAATATTCACAGGAATTCGTAGCAGGAATTTTAAATAATTGTATTCCGAATGTGTATCCCAATTCCTTCATTTAGATGATTTATTCGGTATATTGTTGTTCACCGGCTTTTACGTTTTAATCTGATATTTCATTTTTATGATTTATGACATTTTTATACAGCGAATATGTGGTACATATTCTCCTACCGCATTGGAACATCAACAATGGAAATAATGAATAATACGGACGTCAAGTGGCTGAAACATCGTTTGTTATGGAAGCATTGCACTGAGGAACAAAAATACTGGTATTTTAAATGCATATCCGAGAAAAATGAAATTGCTCTGATATTAGCTTAGAATTGCTGCAGGCCTAATAAATGTTTTTGACGTCTACATTCATAGCTGCGTAATGTAGTAATGCGTTTGTAGTCGTTCAGCACTTGAATGAGGCTTGTAATTCTTGTACCATGACTGTAATGAGAGCGAATGGCTTCCGCGGTCGAAGTTATCTGGAAGAGAATTCTAGCGACAAGTTGCTCTGATCGGTAGTTTTCCGTGGTTTCTTCGATCAACACCAGGCGAATGCCAAAGCAGTACTGTAACAAACGGACTACCGACCGCGCGCGATCTTTCCTGCTTCTTCCTTGTCCCATCCTCACGCCTTACATACATCTACACTAACATGAACTACACTACCAAACATGTCTGGAAACTAGTCGGGAGCTTAGAGCTTGTTCCGACTGGGGGGTGCCCCCTGGTGGGAGATACCTGGGATGTGATATCACTCTGAGGGAAGGCCAGCATATCACTGAGGAACATCGCTAACGGCGGCCGAAACTTTGGCACCAAAACTATGTCTAAGACGCTGCGTATCACGGACAGCCAAGTAGCTAGCACGACTCTAGCTCACCCTTGCTAATCATTTACATAAAACAATGTTTTATAATGCTGAAAATGTCTCCAAAAACCATAATTAATCAATTAAATTAAATAATTGTTGATTTTTTATTTATTTCTAACTCTTTGAATTTAATAACCTTTGTCACTATAGAAAATGAATGAAAATATTATTTTGATACGTAACATCGGCTTCTAGGGCACGGGAATGAATACTTATGAAACTCCCACCTTTCACTGGTCGCGTCACTGCGTAATGAACAAAGATTTAAAGATCTATTCATAATTTTTATGTCAAATGACCTTTTGGTTATAGCCGAGCCCCTACAATTCCGGGGACGGGCAGTTCAGGACACAGGATAAATTGAAAGAATCGGTGGCCGCATGAATTCGGAGCAATGAATTTGTTCATGTACTTAACATATGCCGGACAACTCTTAACCATATTATATCACGTATATTTTCACCCAGTTAAAATGCATGCATTGAAAAGAACATGTCCATATTCTAAACAACTAACTTGCTCCTATCACAGTCACAAAGACGTCTAAGGTGTGCACGTTTTCACTACAATGGCGGCCTTCAAATTAATCGGTGTCAGCAGTCTCTCGGTGAGTCTAGTTTAATTCTATTCCAAAGTCTTTGGTTATAGCTGACCCTTCCTTCCCTCAGTTAATTCCACTGCCTGCTTACACCCTAAAGAACCTTGACTCCAGCCTCCAATCTGTATCCTCGCTGGCTCGTAAACCAACTGAGGCCGAGAATTATCTCTGTCGCTAAGAGCTCCTAAGCCCCTAGTGACTTTTAAACCCTTTGTATATTTGGTGTATTTAACCCTTTGTATATGTGGTATGTTTGGTGTCGGCCAAGCAGCGTTCATATTATCATGGCCAGTAGCCCGTAAGTCCATTACGTCTTACTTCCACGCAGGTAGTCACCGTACAACATTCGGCCGCATACTCTGCAGCTCTCGGTTGCCGCTGTAACCACTGGACTACGGAAACAGTACTTCAAAATTCTATTCAATGATGTATTTTCATTTTCGTAATTGTACTGTTATATCGAGTTAAAGCAACTACACAGAGGAACGAAAATCCACTTTTCATATTACTGAAAAAACTGCTATTACTTAAAATTATATATTAAAGGTGAAAATACAAATAACAGACTCGATTAGTTATTTGCTTCATCAAGATAATGATATTAATAACTTTCCGTGGCTTGTAGCAGCAAACAATCTAATGTTGTTTGGAAAAAAAGGGTCCTGGAGCTCAGAACTTGACTGTTCTGAAACGGCACACGTTAATACAAAAACGTCTTTCTTCCTCGTCACATGGCATGAGCTGCTCCATGAGCAGTAACGCATTGAGTAAGATAATACAGTAGTAACATCAAATATGAAAATGTGCGAATTTACGTAATCAAATATTTGTCTTTTCGCTGTAAAAAACGAAAGGATTCCTTGATTTGTGTATTTTGCCAGATTCTCTGAGTATCTAACGAAAGCTCTGAGTATCATATAGCAAGCAGAAGCTTAGATTTCCTTTAATTTCGCGTGTATTCGAAATTAGTAATACAGATTACGCGATAGATTAATCAAATTTTGGATATTAATATAGTATTGATGATGTGAATAATGTATTAATTTGATATGATTTTTCTTTAGTCGCTTTTCAACTACTAAGGTCATATAGAGACCACTGCAAGTAACATTGGGGGTAACGGTAACGCTATACAGACTCACAAACATCCATGCCCCGGACGGCATTCGAAACCCTTCAAGCACGAGGCAGCAACGGTTTTTCAGCCTTAATGACCTCGACTATCCATAACGGCTATATTATTTTTGTATCACCCTTTTCGCACCGTACTAGTTTTTGTTTATTTTTCTTTGTTCGTTTGTTTCTTTGTGTTTGTTTTTGTTTCTTGCGTTTGTTTTTGTTTTTTTGCGTTTGTTTTTGTTTCTTTGCGTTTGTTTGTGTTTTTGTTTCTTTTTTCTTAGTTTTTTCCTCCGCGCCGTGCTCTAACTCACCCATGAAGAGCTCGATGAGGCCCCCGGCGAGGCGGCGGTGCCACGGGACGAAGACGGAGAAGTTGGCGAGCCGCGGCAGCTCGCGCGCGTTCAAGATGGCGTCGGGCAGGGGCGGCTCGCCCGGGGCCGGCGGCACCAGCGACACGGGCGTGGAGGGCTCGGCCGGCAGCCCGGCCACGGCCACGGTGGTGGTCGGCGGGCCGAAGCGGCTCGGCAGGCTGTCCACCATCTCGCGCTCGCGGTTGCTCTGCGCGCACACACACACACTTGTCGTTCATTGGTTATGGGGCGGGTCGACTGCTATGGTCTCTAGTCGTGTAAGAATGATGCATGTTTTTGACAGGGGAGTGGTTGATGCTTGAGTAAAATTTTGCATTATAAGTAGCGGTGAGTCCACGAGACTTTCGATACCTGCATACCCTCGATACTCGAGTGGTATCGATTGCGATCGATGCTCTCAGAAAATTACTCGATTCTATTTTGAAACTTTCAATTAGCTATTTTTCATCTCTTCTGATTTTACAGAATAATTGTCTGCACATTCCCCTCTCTCATAATTATCTTCTGTCAGCTATCTTACTGGAAAAACAAAGTGACTTTCCCCAATTTAAGAAACAGTGCTGTTCGATACCTGTGCAATCCACCAGCTACAGTGTTTTCGGAGAGACTTTTCAGCACAGCTGGACTGATTATGTGACAAAAAAAAGAAATAGAATTGACCCAGAAAGAGTTCGCTTTCCTTAAGAATGATTAAAAACGTACAAAATGTGTGTTCATCTCAATAGTTTTTAATATTAAAATAGTAAATGCTTGTATGTATGAAGATCAAAATATATCCTTCCAATTCTGATTGAACCACTTTTGTTGTTCAGTCTTTAAAGTAATATCGTATCGATTATCGAAGCTCTCAGATAGGTTACGGTATCGAGTACCAAGAAATTCAGGTATCGACACTAATCGCGGTATCGACATCACTAATTATAAACATATCTACGGTATGGCAGACATGGTACATGCTAATCACAAGCGGAGCTATTTAAAGCATAACCGCTAAACAAATAACAAAAATTGTAATTTGAACTATCCTGACAGCAGCGCAAATTCTGTGATAATATTAATATAATTGCCATGAACGTCTGAATGCCTAGAATCGCCACTGGTCTGAGGGAGCTCAGGTTTCTGAATGTCTGAAAACATTCTACCTCGTAATGTAATTTAAAACGTCCTACCGCAGGGAAGGTTCTTGGTACAACTTACGTTATTTCAGTTACGATCTATTAAATTAACGTAGAGAAGCTGATATCAGCTCAATTAGATTAAACTCCAACATCTATATAACTGGAATTATAGACTAATAATACACTATTATACAATATATATTTATACTATATATAGACTATAATACACTATACTATTTACACAATATAACTAACTGTGATTTCAAAACCACTGCCTTTTTATAATCTCGTAAGGTTATTAGCTTGACATACATTTTTTGACTTGTTTAAATTTTATTTTTACAGTTTTCGTCTAGTGCTTGCCCTGTCTTATCTTGGGAATCGCTAAATCGATATCGATTCAGTTTTTACTGGAAAGTAGAGTATTTTATCGATCTTAATGTATACTATATTTTTGGACATAATTTTCAATTAAAGAAGAAGTTTGTTGTTTTTAGTTATGTTGTTTATTCATGTTTCATATTTGATGTACATGTTATGTTTGTTTTTTTATACATATCTACTGTTTTACTTTAACCTTCATGACATTTTATTCATGTGATCTTCCACACAAGACAAAAAATTACAGTGGTTATTGATTTCTTATAACTTCTTCCATTCCTCTTCTCTAATTTAAATCGGTCAATGGACTCGAACTGCTCCTAACTTACCCAATCCTTCTAAATACATGTACTATACAAATTTCAATAAGTGAAGACAATATTGTATGAACATTTGTTTAATTAATTTATCATTTTTCTATTCTCCAGCTGACAGAGAAATTGTCCATCCTTTTTTTTTCAAATTCAGTAAAAACATTAAAATTCTAGTTCATCCTACAGATCAAAGATAAGTGGAAATAATATTCTATGAGTACGCCTAATTCTACCTCATTAACAGGAGTCATGAGTATTGATATATTTGATGTACCAGAATCATTTAAATGTTTTCTCTAACACCACTCAAAATTTAATCTGAATTAATTTTAAAAGAGAATATTATAATTATATTTTAATTAAATATAAACAAAATTAATTTTAAATTCACTTAATTTAAACAAATCCCATGATTATTGGATCTCTAGGAAATTGAATTTTAGAAGAATCAAGTTTTGAAAAAGTAAGATGAATTACTTTATCTTCTCAATCCAGTTCAATATTTCCAAAGCGGAAGAAGGTAGTTCAGATCTAGTGATTTTTGAGCTATTACTACAGCGATTTATTCAATTTCAAACTGCAGGAATCGTGAGCTCTGGCAAATGACTATTCTTGGAAACAAACACCTTTTTTCATGAAAGTGTACTGTGGTAAATAAAATGTACATATAACATTTGAGCTCCCCCTCTCCAGATTCATCATAACACCCCTTTCTAAAAAGAGCAAATCCTGTCTTAACCAAGTTTCGTATTTGAAGAGTATCTATCTGACAAAAGAAGTAAGTCAATAATCCGATTCTACAAGAGTTCGAGTTCTTACAATCCACGCTAAATCGGGCTCACTTTGTAAAACCATTATATATCGAGGTAAAGATACTAACGCTAGCTCATATTTTTATATGATTTATATAATTATAATAATAATAATAATAATAATAATAATAATAATAATAATAATAATAATAATAATAATAATACGATACATTTTATTAAAATAATTAAAGAAGTATTGAGTTGTATTCTATCAGATAGTATAATTGGAGAAAGAAAGGCACAAGAAAAAATAATTAACCCTTCTTTGAAACAACACAAAACTTGAACTTACTAAATCCATTAAAAAAGTAACTTATTACAAAAATTACTGCTTACCAACAGTTCAGGCGGAGGACGCAGCACAATACCATTTGGACCTTTTGGAAAATAAATAGGCTCGTAGGGCCTTTCAAAGAGTAAAAGAATACTCTCTTTGGTTGAGATCGACATGATGGTTGATGGTTTGCAGCGAATTTCCTACGTAAAAAATAAAAACTTCTTAAAAACTGGCAACATTTAAATATAAATCAGTCCAGGTTTAATTATGTAATAATCCTCTAAGGTCACGTTTCTGAAAGAACAAAAAACCACAAATTATTTGACCACATTTTCTTCATTCTTCAAAATTACTACCATTGAACTCTCAGAATTCAGATATTTTATTTTGTGATCACACACACCGAAATTCACTGTTATCTACAAACTTTCTGGTAAGGTGTACATATCATGATCTGCATATATTTAGATTGAAATGTTCAAATATAATTAAAACAATTATAAATTTGCAAAACATAATGCAATTGTACAGTTCTATCCAATGCACTCACCTACAGAAGAAAACGCGCTGCAACCAGTCAGACCACACTCAGAACTCGTTCTGTGGTCGGCAGAGCCTTTATAATATCCTCTTCCCTTCCCACCACCGCTGCCGTCGCCACCGCCTTCTTCGTCACAACCGCCACCGCAACTGTCTTCTTTCCCTGAGCCGCGAAAAAAAACTCCGGGACATTCCCGACTCCATAACAGGAAGATCGGTCGGTGTGCAGTGCACCTGTGGTCGCCGTCGGAATTACCGAAGAAACTGCTGAGTTGTCACGCTTGTCAAGAGGTTCCTTATTCGCAATAAAATTGAAAATTGCGTCTTTGTTGTTGCTTTACCTGCTTTGAAATTTGCGCTAGCGAGTTTGCATTTACATCTCGGATCAGTACACTTCTCACTGCTCGGCTTCATAGTGATCTCCCCTCCTCGATACCTTCCTCCCCCCTCCCTTCCACCGGGGAGGTCCTAGGGTTCTAATGCATATGGTTTGGCAGGATTTTCGACACTAGCTACATGGCAACGCCGAATTGTCTGGGGGAGAGTTCTAGCGACCGGCTGCTCTGTTCGGTTTCACCGATAAACCCCAGGCAAATGCCGGGAAGTACTCTAACAAACGGCCGCAGACCGTGCGCGATCTTATCTTCCCCGTCCTTGTCCTTCCTTACCCCCTACTTACACACACTTCCACTCACATGCACTGCACTACCACACTAGTCGAGGGACTTAGAGCATGTCCCGGCTAGAGCGGTGCCCCGATGGTGGGAAATACCTGCTTGGGGAAAACCCCGCAAGTCGACGTGTAGGTTGGCGCCAGATCTCACTATTCAGCGGGGGGGGAGATCACCGCCACCTCCCGCGATAAAATGTTCAGTACACTTACGAGACTTGACGTGCTCGGAAACAGCGGCGGCGATGGTGTAACGGTTAGCGTACTGGACTGTTGTACCCAAGTTAGCGGGCTCAAACCCGATCGAAGCCGTGGATTTTTAAGGGCGAAAAAATCCTTCGTACGCCTTCCTTCGGAGGGGAAGTAAAGCCGGCTGTCCCATGTTAGTAGATTTACTTGCATGTAAAAGATCCTCAAGCCTAAATGACGCCTCTGAGCTAAATTCAAATCGCCTGTTTCTCGCCCAAGATACACCTTTCTCCGCTAGTTGGTGAAAGGAGCGTAGCGGAATTTGCGTGGTCAGACGGAAGAGCGGGCCTGATGGCCCGAGTCTCGCCACGTAAAATAAGGCAAATTCAATTCAATTCAATTCACTAATCAAACAATCGCAGATAACTGACCACGGCTAACGACCCGTCCCCCTTCTAGAACATTAAAACGTTCCCTTTTCCATGTAACTTTTATGGGAATCTCAGAAGGACAGATAGGAATAAAGGCCAGGGAATAAAATCACAAATAATTACGAAATAAAACTAAAATCAAGATAAAATAGTATTTTAAATCATATCGAATAATTTGTTTCTTAGAACACGTTTCCAAAAATGGAAATCGGGGGGCGTAAGCCCGATTGGTAAAAATATGAGTAAGAGGAGTTCTCCATGGGAATAGTACATACAATACCTGGTCTTGGTGCAAATAATACATGTACACCACATATGATTTCTTTGGGCAGTGAACGAATTAACCATTCTTCTTAGGTCGGTTCAGTATCTCATCGTCTGACGTAGATATACCCATGGACCCTTCTTCGTCTTCCCTTTCAAGATTGAGTAGAGCTTACAAGGAATTACGCGAAGCCGTCTCAACTAAGCTAGCCGATATAGGATTGTAGGTATTTTTCAGGAGGAAAAGTATGTACGTAGGCTTCTAGGCCTTCTATGTACCGTGAGGGCTACAGTTAGCACAAAGTGAGTCAGAAATGGTACTGTCCCAGTACAACGCGTACTTTCTTCACACTCATGTCCCCGTACCACACGGCGAAGCAGGAATGAGAGGATGTTATCGAAAATGTATACCCGACTGGGGGAAAGCCAACCATGCCAAAACACAAAAGTAAAGACCCATTCGTGATCCCGTTACCCATGCCTTGGCAACCATACCCGTTTAGGTCGGTTTGTTGTGGTTCCAAGTTCTGGTATAATCTGCGCGCAATTTCTTGTGATCTCACTTTCCAAAATGCAGGAGTGGGGGCTCTGTTATTTCAACAGTAGTAGTGGCGAAACTATCACCGGTCACGCAGGTTCATTTACCTGGGGACACAAGGACACAAGTTGCCCCCAAAAGCAATTCAAATGTAATATACGGTGAACTCTCCCCGAGGCCTCCTCTTACAATATTAAAAAGAAAACCACAGCATAGTCTACTTACAGAGGAAGGTAACAAACTCGTTAAAAGCGAACCTGGGCGACGTTATACTTATAGATAAGTTTGTCAAGGCAAAAGTCCTCAGGACTAAATTCTCAATTTTTAATTGATACAATTTCTTTCACTTAGTTTGCAGCACAATTCGTTTGTTTCTTGTTGCTTTTTGACAAGACTTTTTGAGGGGGACCCCATTTAGTTTCTAAAGGTCCCCCGGGGGGGATGTTAGTTACGCCACTAGGTAATAGTATATAAAATCAAATCTGTGTCTAATTTTTTGAAACAAACTGTTTTTATTACACGACATTGAAAATTAATTGTTAACAAATGCTGTCAACAACGATCATTAGTGTCTTAATTTATCAATACTGGCAAAGAAGAAGGGTTAGGTATTTCGCAGCTGAAGAAAACATGGGCGAATATCAGGTGTAGTGTGTCTCAATCTGTGTGCAACAATGTCATCCGGCCACAAACAAAGAAAACGGTATTTAATTGAGAAAAAGTATGTTATTCTTACATTGTTCAGAGGCTTTTTTACATGTGAGTCTTTTTACATACCGTGAAAGAACGTAAGTAATAAAGAAGTGCATAACTTTAAGCAAATGGTTTGATCATTTTGGTAATTATTATCACTAGATTGCCGAAAAACCAATTGCTCTTCCATTTTGGTGTTCAAAATTGAAACACTTCAGCATTCATAGTAGTCACGATACTTCTGTACATTTACGTTTTTATTCCACACAGTCCAGCGAGATCGAACATATAAAAATACATCTAGTATAATTCTAGGATAATGAACAATAAAATAAACACATTCGTTTTATATATTTTTACGTCTTTAATTTTTTCGTGAATTCTATTTGTTTGCTTTTTGTCTACTATGTATGAGTACTTACGTTATACAAAGAAGGAATGCCGCAGCAGAAAGTGGAGATTTTCAAGGCTCATATTGCGCTCGGGAAAAACTCGTATTGCGGAGCTCTGATATAAAAAAAATTATTTATAAGAGATCTAAAATACTTCCTTTAACATGCTGTGTAGCTAAAATCCTTGTTCGGTGATACAGAAATAATAAGGCACATACCTACCATCTTTTAAAACTTCTGCAATTTTCGAAAATTCAGAAAGTTCAATTAAAATAAGGTCTGCATTCTTCTTAAGTGTCATTAACTCTATTCGAGCCAAATAAATTCTAGACAGAAAAATTCGTCACCGTTTTTAAGATTTTTTAATAAATTGTCTTTATTCCAAGAAAAAAAATACACGAAAATTAGTCAAACTTTCTCAAACAATTGTACACGACCTTTTTTAAAGATCTAATTTGTTAGAACCGATTGCATTAACGAAAAAATCTAACTCGATATTGAAATTCAGCAATGTTACATTTTTGGAATTTTCAAAAATACATTGTTCTCGAAAATGGGACCTGTGCCAATTTTTATTAATAGAGGCGGATTTTAATGAAATGTCATTCTTTTTCTTTTCACTTTAGAATAATGCCTTTTAGAATAGACATTAATTTGTTATGACAAAATAATTCTTTTTTGCATTTTTAGTCGATTTAGACATATTTTTGGCCTTTCCATATTTAAAGAATTTTTTGCTTATTTTGTCGATTTTAATATAATTTTAATGGTACTTCCTTCGAATAATATTTACTCGTACAACACATGTTCTCCACAAAATTCCTGGCTGGCCTATACGATTTCTTTGTTTAAAAATTGTAATGTCGGCCGTTGTATGTTCCTGTGACACCTATCAGCCTATCATTGTCAGTTCGGCCGTTTTCGGTATAACTAAAGGCAGAAATTTCCTGATAAGGAACAGTTCAAACAAGTGATATATTCAACAGCTTAAGTTGTTCATCTAAACTGGTTTTGTTACAGTTTTTACATTATTTTCTTTGTTCTTATGGCACTTTAAGGGTATTTTATTGATCATATTTAGCGATATTTTTAGTCACAAAATCTATTTATAAGCCGCTATTTATAAGAATATAATTGAGTAAAGAAATCTCTATACTTCTCGTAAAATCACGCGTAAACTACTCATAATTGAGAAAAAAATATGCGTGATCTGTTTTAAAGATCTTTCTTTGACGAACAGATTGTACTCAAGAAAAATCCCTATCTTCAATAATAATGTAGTTGAAGGAAGACATGGTAAATCACTAACTTTTGCAATAATCAAAAAGTTAGAGTTCAACGAAGATGGAATCTGTGCCTTTTTTGTTGTTTTGCTTCATTTGTGAAAAACAACAACTGGAACCGCTTTTGGAAAAAAGGTGGGTTTTTTTGCCTTTACATCATTAAAAAAGTTGTGAGAAAGTATGTGATGTTCCAGCACCGTTATCTATCGTTGTCTTCAAAAATGTATTTACTGGAAACTAAATTCAACAAAATACCATTCTGTATATAACACTGGCCTGCGATGACTTCATTGCCGGTATCTTGTCTTGCTTTTTAGAATTACTTTTGCATCCTGAATCTGGAACCGACGTTCTTTTTTCCACATCACGTCACGTTCTTCAAAAATCGCATATTACGTTTTTATTATATTCGTTCACTAATGTACTTTCGTGATTGCAAGAGGAGTGGCTTTAATTAATATTTCCTGATTAATTTATTAAATCAATATCCTTAGCGATCTGACAACCCTTAGTGAACTGAGTCGTTAAAACGGTACAATGCAACAAGTTTTGCTGAATGACATTTTGTTGCGGTTTGTCCGGTTATCTGAATTGTGTTTCAATTGC